CCCCCCCCCCCCCCCCCCAGCCAGTCCCTACCTCTTGCCTCCCATAGCCTGGCCAAGGTGGGTGGGGTGAGGGTCAGGGTCTAGATTGAGAGGTAGCCCCTGTTCTTTGCTGCCCACCAATGCCTTGAGACTTTGCCCTTCCCACCCTTGCCCATCTTCCTGCCCCGGGGCAAGGCGAGGGTTGGGGGCTGACTCCTCCCCCTGCCGCCTTCCAGATTCCCTCTGCAGACATCAGGATGAGGTCTCCAGTCCTGTTTGCTGCCTTCTTCTGGCTCCGGGGATATTTGGCTAAGGTAAGGTGGGCACAGGGAGCAGGCCCTATGGGTGGAGTCCGTGCCCGCCAGGGCATGTCCAGGCCTCCCGGTTCTGCGGGACCCACAGCTGGTCTGCATTAGGTGAGAACAGAGGCCGATCCCCTCCCACAAGACAGCCAGACAGGCCGCTACAGCCCGCCCTGGCAGCCTCCTGTAGTTGGGGAAACCTCTGCAAGGAGCCCCTTTAGCCGAATCTGGGGGAGTGTCAGACACAGGGCGAGCCTTCTCTCAGATCCTGGCCTCAGCCACCGCCTCATTTCCCAGGGGCCTGGGCCCCAAAGGCCTCTACCTATCTCCTCCCTACTCCTTTCCTACAGGAAGATGCATGCCAGCCCCTGGAAGGGAGCCCAGACAGGCAGGGCGGAGGTAGGTGTCTTCCCGTAGGGAGGAAGGTCGAGGGGGGTGGTTTGTGGGTGCAGGGACACTTTCTCCATGCCAGATCCTGACCCTGCTCTGGACAGAAGGAGTGTTGGGAGGCCCTGAAGGCACCCTCTTTCTGCAGGCCCACCCCTGAGAGTGAATGTCAGCAGCCGGCTGACAAGTCTCTTTGTGACCTGGGAAGGCTCGGGGCTAGCCAGGCTGGACCATGCCCTCCGCCTCAGGCATCTGAGCTCCCTGGGCTCTCCAGAAGGGCAGCAGCTCCAGGTCCGCACCAATGCATCCAGCTTTGAGTTCCAGAACCTGGTGCCAGGGAGTCACTACCAGCTGGAAGTGACTGCCCTGCGACCCTGTGGGCAGAATGTCACCGTCACCCTCAGGGCCTACACAGGTATGAGGCCTGTAAGCTGAGGAGCAAGGCACATTGTCTGGGGTGGGGGCCAGAAGTGGTTGCCCTAGAAGGCTGACAGGGGCAGGGTAACTGAAGTGGGCACCTTCTGCGAGGACCATGCCTGCACGGTGAGCCACTTAGAAGCAATGTGAGCAGAGGGCGCTGCCCCTTGGTGCTGACCTTGGTGTTTCTCTCTTCCTCTGATGCAGTCCCATTGGCCGTCCATGGGCTGCAGCTCCACGGCTCTGGGAGCCCAGTCAGCCTGGAGGCCTCGTGGGGAGATGCCCCCGGGGAGCAGGATGGCTACCAGCTTCTCCTCTACCACCTGGAATCCCAGACATTGGCACACAACATTTCCTTGCTCTCTGGCACCCTGTCCTACAATTTTGGCAACCTCTCGCCAGGTAGCGAGTATGTTTTGGAGGTTATCACCCGGGCTGGCAACCTCCAAGCAAAGACCAGCATCCACCAGTGGACAGGTGAGGTGGGCGCTTGGGCAGGCCCCAGGTGGCAGCCAGGCTGGGAGTGGGGCATGTCCAGAGTCTCGCAGGCGGCTGTGTCCCAGCATTGCTCTGGGCTCCCTGGTCATAGATAGCCCCTGCTCCAAGGCCCTTGCTCACGCCCACTCTGCTCTCCCCGTCCTTCCTCCAGCCCCCATATCCCCAGATGGGCTGGTGCTGCGTGCTCTGGGCACCGACGCCCTGCGAGCCTCCTGGAACGGCTCCGAGGAGGCTGCCTGGCTCCATCTGGTGCTCACAGACCTCCTGGGAGGCACCAACCTGACTGCAGTGGTCACACGGGGGGTCTCCAATCACACTTTCCTTCACCTGTCTCCGGGCACACCCTACAAGCTGGTGCTCAGCGCGACCGCAGGGCCCCATTGGGAAGAGGGGCCCAATGCCACCGAATGGACCTGTGAGTGACTGGGGACAGGGCGCGCTGCAGGGAGTTTGGTGGGCGTGATCTTCCCGTTGGCCGTGGTAGGTGCCCACTTAAGAAGATGCTGGTGGGCTCGCTAGGTCACATTACCCCATTTTATGGTAGAAAAGCGGAGGTTCAGAGAGGAAACACCCCAAGGTCATGCAGCATGTGAGTGGCCGAGCTGGCTGTTCGGGACCTGGGTTGGGTGCCTGCAGAGCCCAAATTGACTTGGCCACAGTTTTACTCAGAGACCATCATGAAGGGGTTAAGAGGGGAGTGAGGGGAGTAACCAGGCTGCCGGGGCTCTGAGTTTTGTGTCCACTACCCACTGGCTGTGGGCTTCTAGACAGCCACTCACCTTCTCTGTACATTAGTTTTTGTGTCTTTCCCCGCCCCCCCCGTATTCATCATAGAACACATACATGCACACGTTAGAGAGACAGAGAGAACACACACATCACACCTGAGAGAGAGACACAGAGAGAGAGAGAGAGAAAACACATATGCACACCTGAGAGAGACACAGAGAGAGAGAGACGGAGAGAGAGAACACACATGCACACCTGAGAGAGAGAGAAATAGAGAAAGAGAAAAAACACATATGCACACCTGAGAGAGACAGAGAGAGAGACAGAGAGAGAACACACATGCACACCTGAGAGAGACAGAGAGAGAGAAAAAAAACACATATGCACACCTGAGAGAGACAGAGAGAAAGAGAACACACATGCACACCTGAGAGAGAGAGAGAGAGAACACACATGCACACCTGAGAGAGAGAGAGAGAGAGAACACACATGCACACCTGAAAGAGAGAGAGAGAGATAGAGAGAGAACACACATGCACACCTGAGAGAGAGAGAGATAGAGAACACACATGCACACCTGAGAGAGAGAGAGAGATAGAGAGAGAACACACATACACACCTGAGAGAGAGAGAGAGAACACACATGCACACCTGAGAGAGATAGAGAGAGAACACACATGCACACCTGAGAGAGAGAGATAGAGAGAGATAGAGAACACACATGCACCCCTGAGGGGGAGAGAGATAGAAGGATGTCCACAGAGGCTGGTCATGCCACGATCCTCCTCCTCAGTCTGCAGTCCATTGGATCCAGGCACTCTCACTTACTGTGTCTTACAGGCTGACTGGGGATTTGAACCACTGTCGCCATGTGGAATTCAGCGTCTTTGGAGCAGTGCATTACCAATGCTCCACAGAGCCACCCAGTTTCTGTATTGTTGGGAGGAGATGATGACAACAGTGCCCTGGTGTTGTGAGCAACCGCCCCAGAGCGCTCAGATACACTGCTGCTCAGATACACTGTTATTTTTGTCCCTGGCCGGATGGCAGCAGCCAGATCCCCATGTTTACTAGCAACGGGCGCCTCCCAGCCTCTGGACAGGACGCCGCTCAGTGTGTGAGAAAGACTGGCGCAGAAAGGGCAGGGGCTTCCCATCCACCATTTAGTACTTGCTCCTTTCCCCCACAGATCCCTCTGCCCCCCTGGACCTGGTGCTGACCCCCATGCCCCCCAAGCTCTGCGCAAGCTGGACGCCAGGGCCAGGTGCCTGGGATGGCTACCTGCTGCTGTTAAGTGGGCCAGTGGAGAAGAATACCGTCCTGGGCCCCGAGACCCTCAGCTTCACGTTCTCAGGACCCCTGCCCGCCGGACACTATGCTCTGGAGCTGAAGGTTCTGGCTGGGCCCTATGACGCCTGGGCCCAGGCCAGTGCCTGGCTGGCTGGTGAGTCCAGGCTGGGGGAGCAGGGAAAGTCCTGCCCAGGGACACTTGCTAAAGGAGGAAGGTGGGTTTCACTCTCTGTTGATGCCCCCTCTCCAGATTCTACAGCCCAGCCCAGCTTGGGGAATGATGCCAGGCTGCAGCTGGAGGGGCTAGAGGCCACTGGGAAGCCCGGGAGGCGGGCACTGCTATATGCTGAGGGCAGCTCCGGTCTCCTGGGGAACATCTCTGTGCCACCTCATGCCACCTACCTCACCTTCTGTGGACTGGTGCCTGGAGCCCATTACCGGGTGGACATTGTGTCATCTCTGGGAGTCCTCACCCAGAGCCTCATGGGCTACACAAGTGAGTGCCAGCCACTGTGTCCCCTGCCTTGGGGAGGAAAGTCAGAGGAGGGGCAGGGGCATCACAGGGTCACAGACCTAGATGGCCCCCTAGCCTAACTGCCCCTCTCTCTAGGTCCCCTGGCACCACAGTCACTGGAGGTCATTGGCAGAGCCAGCCCCTCTGAGCTGGCCATTGGCTGGGTCCCTGCACTGGGGCAGCGGGAAGGCTACAGGGTTACCTGGCACCAGGAGGGCAACCAGAGGTCACTGAAGAATCTGGTCGACTTGGGTCCGGACAATTCCAGCCTGATACTGCAGGATCTGGTGCCTGGCTCCTGCTATACCGTGGCACTGTGGGCCTGGGTGGGGAATCTCAGCTCCAGCATCCAGATGGTCCACTCCTGCACTCGTGAGTTCCTGGCTATAGCCTCTGGAGGCCAGCCTGGGGCATGGTGGGGACTTTCCTCTACTCTCTGCCCTGTGTGTGCTGTGTTCTTGATGCAGAGGACCAAAAGTCCAGGGTGGGGCCTTTCGTGAATGTATTTGCAAACATTTTCCACCTGCTATCATCTCATTTATCCACCCACTTACCCATCCACCCACCAATCCATCTGCCCATCTACCTACCCATACATCTACCCATCCATTCACCCATCCACCCATCCATCCACCTACCCACCCATGTATCCATCCATTCGCCATCTCTCTATCTATCCACTGAGTCACCCACTCATCCATCCATTCATTTATCCACCCACCCACCCTCTATCCGAATATCCACCTACCTATCCACCCACCTATCCCTCTATCCATCCATTCATCCATCCATCCACCCACTCATCTATCTGCCCACCCATCCATTCATCTACCCATCTATCCATCCATTCATCCATCCACCCACTCATCTATCTGCCCACCCATCCATTCATCTACCCATCTATCCATCCATTCATCCATCCACCCACCCATTCCTCTATTCATTCATTCACCCATCCATCCATCCAACCATCCACTCACCCATTCTTCTCTTCATCCCTCCATTCATCCATCCATCCACTCATCCACCCACCTATCCATCTATCCACCCACCCCATCCCACTCTCTATCCATTCATCTGTCTATCCATCCATCCATCCATCCATCCATCCACCCATCTATCCATTCTTCCAACAAATACTTAATGAATACCTCCCACTTTCTAGGTATGGGGCCAGGTGCCTAGGTTAAAAATTATTGGGACCAGTAGTTGGTGTAATGGCTACATTGCTGGACTCCCATGTATTCAACTGCAGTTTGAGTCCTAGACCCGGTGGCTTAAACTGACACTGGGTGCGTGTGTGTGCATGTCCAAGATCCCGAGAAGAGAATGGAGAGAAGGGATTGTGGCGTGGCCATCCCCCCCACCCTCGGGGGTGATTTCTCGCTTTCTGTCTCTCTGTCTGTCTCTGTCTTTCTGGTGAGCACACATGCCCACCTCTGGAAACAAACAAACAAACAAACAAAAAAAGAACAAACAAATATGAACAAGACAGTCTAGAAAAGAGGACTGACAAGTAAACAGACGGTTATGATTTTGCAGATTGTATTATAATGAATGTAAATACATTGATAGTGTAAGCATGATGCAATAGTGTGAACCGTATGAAACTACATTCTTAAAAGCTGAAATGGCTGAATATTCAGAATTTAATGTGGTTTGACCTAATCTTAGGATTAGGATTCTTGGAAGGGCCACCAGTTTAGGGAATTGGGGTGGATTCCCAGAGGAGGAGGGCATGCTGAATGAGAGGCTGAGTGGGGCCTGCGTAGGAGGCTAGGCATGGGCCGAGAACCACAGGCCAGAGACAGCTAGCCAGACTGAGCCATCCCAGGAGCTGACAGCCAGCAGATAAGCTGGAGCCCCGGGCTCTAAGGGTGCAAGAGAGCAGGTGCTCGGCTGGGTGCTAGCGGGGGTGAAAGTGACCAGACACCAGGCCCTCCAAGAGTGACCTCGGGGACAGCTGGGCAAACAGGTGACAGGGTGTCTCCTCAAGAGCTTTCCTGGGAGGGGAAGGAGAGCGGGTTTTGGGGTTGTGGAAACTGGATCTTAGACTGGCAGTGCTCAGAGCTTGTTTGGAGACAGGGAGGAGGGGAAGGAGAGGTGGGATGCAGTTATTCCAGATCTGGATCTGCTTCTTCCTTGTCCTTGCAGCCCCTGCTCCTCCTGCCAACTTCAGCCTGGGCCCTACCAGCCAGCCACCTGTCCTGACGGCTTCCTGGTGCCCTCCGCCAGGGGGCAGGGATGGCTTCCACCTGCGGCTCTACCGTCTGCGCTCCCTGACTCTGGAGAGCGAGGAGATTCTGGCTCCAGAAGCCCACAACTTCTCCTGGGCCCAGATGGCCCCGGGCACCGAGTTTCTGGCACAGCTGGCTACTTTGCAGGGGCCCAGTGAGAGCAGTGACGCCAACGCCACAAGCTGGACGTGTAAGTGCCCTCCGTGTGGCCCTCCTCGCCTGTTCTCAGGATTCCTACGGGACTGCATGTCCCTCTTGGCTGCTTTGTGGCCTGGGTGAGCAGCTGGTCATTCTGGAGACATGCACCCCTGAGCCCTAGGCACCAGGAAACCACCGCCCTCACCAGCCTCACCCAGGGCCTTGACCTGGCATTCCCGAAGGTGGGCAGGACCAGGGCGGCCACGGGCATGCCGTTAGCCTTGCTCTCCCATGGCTGACGCCGTGAGGTGGGTGTGGTGAGGACCCGGCCTCTGGCTCCCCATGAGCGACTAATCTCAGCGGCAGCTAATGCTCTAACCGGAGCTCAGCTGAGCGCTGCCTGTGCTCTCCCAGCCACGCTCTTGACGTTGCGCCTGCGCGGTCGTTACTGCCGCGTCTCCGGGGCACAGACGCTGAGGCTGAGGCACAAAGGCAAGTAACCGGCCCTAGGTTCTCAGCCCCCGGTGGGAAGTCATGATTCGGGCTCAGGCAGTGTGAGCAGAGCCCGCACACTGGCCACATGCTAACCCTCAGCCCTGGGAGGAGCAGGGAGCTGAGGCCCTGGGGAGCGTCATGGATTCCTGCAGGCGTTCTCTCTGGCGCCCTCGGAGATGGGTCAGGGAGCCCCATCACACTAGCCTGAGTCCTGCGTTTTCAGTTGCTGAGCCCTCGGTGGGAATGCAGAGCAGCCAGGCCCTGCTGCCCCCAGCAAATCTTCTGCAATATGCCGACTCCCCTACTCCTGCCCAAGTTCCCCTCAGCTGCCTCCTTCCACCCCGGCCATAGTTCACTGTCCTCTAGATCCCACCTAGACCTTCCCAAGGAAGGCCCTGAGACCTCAGGCAGGCTGGGAGGGGCTGGAATGAGGTCCAGACTGGAGGAAGGAGTCTGGATTCTGACCCGATTCAGTCCCTAAATCCAGCCCCAGCCCTCTCTGGGCCTCTGTCCCCATTTACAGACAGGAGTGTTGACCAGGTGACCGGGCCAGCTTGTGTGACTCCAGACTGTCGGCTCAAACTCTGAGCAGGGAGGGCACTGCCCAGGCCCCTAGACCCTACCTGTCCATCCCCTCTAGGGCATATGGCAGCGCCTGGGGCTCAGGGGCCGGAAGAGGCACACGGTCCACTCTCTGCTGCCCAGTCTTACCTTCCGCAGGAGGCATGGCATGTGGGGAGACCAAGGGGCTCATTCATGGAGTCACCCTCTTTGAACCCGAGCTTTGTGCCTTGGAGCACCTGCAGGGCTCTGCCTTCAAGTAGAGTCATGGGCTCACCTGCTGCCCTGACCAGCACCAGGGTCCTAGGTGTTTCTCTCTGTCCTTCTCTGTGTCCCTACTTCTTGTTCTCTCTACAGCCCCCCTCACTCCTCCTCTGGTAAATGTGACCAAGGAAGGCTCCACCCAGCTCCGGGTATCCTGGGTCCACGCTCCTGGGGGACGACACGACTACCAGGTGACCCTGTACCAGGCGGGCACCCAGGCAGGCACTCACACCGTGGAAGCCCAGGTGGACAGCACGCGCTTCTCAGCCCTGACTCCGGGCACCAAGTATGACGTGGAGGTCATCTCGCGGGCTGGGCCCCTTCACTCTGCCGCAGCCAAGGCATCTGGCTGGACCTGTGAGTGGGTGCGAGGAAGGCAGGGAGGTGGGAGAGGCGGGCAGGGCTGCCGCAGGGACCCCTGGGTTCTTCTGTCCATGGCACCTTGGCCCTCCTTTGGCTCTTTTCCTACCTCCACACCCAAGAGGGCTGCCTGAGGTCAGTGAGCACCTGGCACCGTGCACGGGCCTCTCGGGGCTGGGCCAGCAGCCTGGGTGACCTGCCCTCCTTCCCTCCTCAGCCCCACTCACGCCCAATGAGCTGTCGGTGTCAATGCAGTCAGGCAGCGCTGTGGTCAGCCTAGCCTGGGCCCGCGGTCCCTTGGGGCAGGGTGTGTGTCATGCCCGACTCTCGGCAGCTGGGCGCCACTCCTGGGAACAGTCCCTGGTGCTGGGCCAAGCCTACCTGGTCCTCGGGGGCCTGACGCCTGGACGCAACCACTCCCTGTCGGTGCTGTGCGAGGCGGGCCCGTGGCGGGCGTCCACCCAGCCCGTGCTGTTGCCTGTGGGTACGTCGCACCCGCGGGGGTCGGGGGTTCCCTGAGAGGAGGTCTGACCTGTTGGTGGCTCTGCTCATCCTGTTCAGAGCCATTTGCCTCCCGTACCCCTAGGCAGACGCTGTGTCCCCCCCTGCTGGGCGGGGTGTCCGAGGGGGAAGTCATTTCTCTGTAGCCAATGCCCCTTTCTGTGGGAATGAAGCCCAGTCCCTTTGAGGCCCTGACCCAGAGCCACCCCCTTGGGGTTCACGGACACCCACGTGATGTGGAGCCTTTGATTCCCACAGAGCCTGGCCCTGTGGAGGACATGCAGTGCCAGCCTGAGGCCACCCGCCTGGCCTTGACCTGGACGGTGCCTGCTGGGGACGTGAGCACCTGTCTGGTGGTGGCCGAGCAGCTGGGCGTGGGGAGGAGTG